CAGCGTCTGCTCCGTTTACCGCTCAGCTGGGTTGCTATGGTGACCACCACATCGTCATCCCTCCTCATCCTTTCTGCATCCCTCTCTCCTCCTTTATATCTTTTTATTTCCCTCTGTCCCCTGATATCCCCCTCCCACTGTCTCATACTTACTGACTTACATAAACCTCGTCTTTTGTACACACAGAAACACTCAGAGGTTGAGTACACTGAAGTCTCCTTGAAAATGTGATATCAGGCTCCATCGCTCTCCTCTCTCCTCCTCACACACATGCCCACACACTCAAAATGTCTCCTGGCTCTTGGCCAGCGCTTCCTCTCAGCTGGCAAATGAAAGAAGGATATTCAGGAAGGATTCAGGAGACCGAGCTTAGAAGGTAGGCAAGTGGAAAAGCACAGGATCAGCAAACCTCAAAATCTCTTTTCACTTTTCAGACCTTTATCCATTTCTTACCACAGACGTGTAGTAGAGAGAGTGAAGAGAAAGTATTACAACTTGTGCTCAGTTCTCACTTGAAACTACCCTGTTACCTAATTTTCTCATCAAATAGGTTTAAAGCATTACAAACATATTTCAAAGAAGATTTCTTTGGCAAAAAGATTTAAAGCCTTGTGAGAATATGCTCTGATTTTAGTTTTTCCTCCTAAATTATGAGCATAAATACAATTTATGCAATATATTATATGAAATATTTGTTAATATGTCAAAAGTTTTATCTTATTTCTCCAACAATGGGATTGTTGCTCAGTGGACTTTTGCACCACTAATGGTTCTACATTGATAGCTTCCTGAAGTTGTGAGTACGAAACCCACTCTCACACACTGCCGCTCTGGGTCTTTTGAGGAAGAACCTTAACCCTTGATTGCTCCCTGGGTGCCCCACGATGGCAGCCCACTGCTCCCCAAGGGGATAGGTTAAATGCAGAGGTACATTTCTCCAATGTGAGATCAATAAAATTCAGTTATTTTTATTATTTTTATATTTTTTGTAAGTGTAAAGTTTGCGTGCACAAAAAATATAATCAATATTTCTTTACTACTTCCAAATAATGCAAAGGTATCAAGCAAATCTATTATATAAGGAGAATTATTCTGAAAAGCTTTTACAGATCCTTTACTTTACTTTCTCACCCTTTGATATATTCAGAACCTCTGCAGACATATTTGCTAATGCTCTAGTGGGCTGTTATTTAGATTGTTAGAAAAAAAAAATGTATTGACTAATTTAACATGCCCGTTTTTGAGTAAAATTGTTATCTTAAACCTACATCCTTCAGAGCATCAGATAAAGTTTACCATGACTTATTTATTTTGTATGTTATGTTATCAATTGTATTTAATGGTTTTCCCAATAGCTGTGTGAGTCATGTCAATAAACTGTGAGAAAGCTGTACAAAATGAAATTTCAACAATAAAAATTGTCTAAGTCTAAAGCACTCAGAACCACAGAGCATTCATTTAAGAACAACAAGTCAGCAGCATCTCTACTGTTAACATATTAATTTTATTTTTAGTCATTATTACACCAACAAATTTGTACTTCTACAGCAGTTAATGACTTCATTTGCTCTTCTTGGGGTGCTTTAATGAATATTTTGGCCTTTTTAGCAGTTAAAATTACATTACTCCATCAAACTCTATTTGTTATAGCTGGTATTAGGATTGATATATCCTCTTTTGGCTCTGTTACCTTTAGGGTGGGTGTCATTCTAGAATGATATGCTCAAAAAAATCTCCAAAACAAGGGTCCAGGTCAGTTATCAGACCAATATCAATTGACTTATTTAGTGGGGGAAGCACTGATGGCCCTCACTGAATATTTAGCCTTAAATATATATTTTGTCTGGTGCAAACTTTGCAGAAAACACACATCCCTTATAATCAATGTTCCAGTGATAATGTATGATCAGGGTGAAGGTGGTGCTGGGTAGTGCTAGACGACCTGCAGCCTCAGGGCATCTGAGCGATCCACCCCTTTTTCTGAATCCAATTTAATCTAAATGAAATTCCCTTCAGACAAAACCAAATAATTCTACTTAAATCCTATAAAAATAGTCCAAAACAGCACAAGCAGAGGACAGTTATACAAGAGCCCATTTAGGAGTACACACATTTTAGTTGATGGTTACAGTAGTTTCTTTGGTGTCCCAAAGAAAACAAGATACAGCTAAATACTGAGATAGTATGACGCAAGTTTCTAGTTAAACTACTTGAATTGTCTATAGATGTATTTATTTTTGGAAAATTAATTGTTTTGAAGGCAAAGTTGTATTAATAATCTTTATTTATTGCCTTTTTTTCTGGTAAAAGAGAATCTAATAAATATAGAAAAATGTTAGCAGAGGTTCTATTTATTAAATGACAGTAACTGCTTTTCTTACTGGACTTTTCTAATCAGAATTACTTATTAAAAGGCATCATCACCACATACTGTAACTGTGACGTTACTTTCTATAGATACATTGATCTCACAGAGTAAACATGTTGCTCTGTAGCACTTTAGTTTAATTACTGATATAGGTTTGTCATTTTTCAAACCCAACATCGGGTTGACTGAACCATCTGTCTCTATGGCTCCTTTCCCCAGGCAAACTCTGTACTTTAACAGACACTTATGAAAGCAGCATGGGGCTCTGTGTGTATCTTGTGTGAGTCCACATATGCGTTGTGTTAAATCACATTAATGTCTTTTCTGATTGTGTATTTTTGATGGCAGCTGGGTGCACTCTTGTGAGTTAAAGCTGCCTTGTGTTTGCTTGTTCACTTGCCATTATTCCATGAATGACTTTACAGATGGGCTTATGTAATACATTTTAATACTAAATTTTTTTTTTCAAACATCCACTACATGAAAGCAGTTACAGATGATATAGTGAGAGAATCAACCCTTATAAAGCAGTTTCTAGCAGATAATTCTGCTAGACTTTTCCAATTTTTCACACTCTTCTATAAATGGGTTCAGTTGATTAGGGGTGTAGAAATGAATTTCATCAGAGCTCTCTTCCTACCAAACCATTTGTGGTTGAATTTTGTACGTTAGTTGGGTTATTTCAACATCTTAACTGTAGTTTTGTGCCAAATTGATGACAGATTGCCTTAGATCTGACAATACCTTTGTTTACAGGGAGTTCTTGTAGAAATTAATAACTGCAAGTTTCTCGTGCCCAGAGGTTGTAGAATAAACACTTATTATCAGGCCACTAGCATCATTCTTGACGGTTGGTAAAGGATGTTTATGCAGATATGATCTGTTTTGTTTTTGAATAAACATGGTCAAACATTTTTACTTTGGTCTCATCTTTCCCATAGACTGTTCCACATGTCTTGGGGTTCATTCAGAGGGGGATTTAGTAAACTGAAGTCATGCAGAACCCTGCAGAAACGTCCTTCTTTTTACAGGGAATTAAGTTTCTTCTGTCATCCCTTACAAACGTGTATAATGTGTCTGTTCAGATTGTTTTTAATTGCTCTGTCACTTTATCATTTAATATGAAAACTCAGACATGAAGAGCCAGAAAATAGTTAATTGTGTGTTTTGAATGGTTTTATTTTTAGCTTATCATTCCTTCCCAAAGTGATGGGCTACAACAATTGTCTGTCTTTGGTTATGGTTAATATAGTTCTACTTTGATGTTGTTTATGTATATCTATGCTCAAATTCAATTCACTTCAGTTCAATTATATAGCACCAATTTTTAATCTTATACTAGTATCAACAGTCTAGTTTTCCTAATAATTGTATATATGTATTCAATACATAGAAATTAAATACTTGAAAGGGTGCAAATGACATGTTCAAATCTAACCCTGTTTATTTCTCTATGGGCCGGATCTATCAAAGGTTTGCGTGTATTAAAACATGAGCTATTTCACTGCGCACGCTAAAAAATGTACAAACTGAACTATCAACAGCGTGCTAAAATGATTTAGTCTTTAAAACGTGCTAAATAGCGCCTCTTATCCATTTAGTACTTTTTCTGCAATGAATATGCAATATTGGGCGTTTACACGCAAAAGTGCGTCTTGTGGGAGGAGAATATGTAAATATATTAATTTAGCACTCGCAAAGTGATTTATCAAACCTGAAAGCAATTTTGCTAACGGTATCTGACTCTATATTTAACACGTTTCAAAAGAAGGTGCAAATGGTCTGTATGCGTAATTGCGCACACATGGCAGCGGTTATTGTCGCAAGAAGGAGACATCGAAATGAAGCAAGGAGACGCAGAGAACGAATTTTTTCACTCCGTGTGAATATTTTTGGAATGAAGGAGGAAACGATCATCAAAACATATCGTTTATCCAGCATTGCCATTTTGGAGCTGTTGGGGGACCTCCGAATGGATTTGGAGCCAGCCACAAGGAGGACCCACGCAATACCAGATATCACAAAACACCTTGCAACATTGCATTTTTTTGCATCTGGGATCTCCCAATCTTGTTTTTCAGAAGTGCTGTCCGACGTTTTAAATGCCATGTCCCCGGACGCCCTAACGGAGAGAACCCCGACCTCTGCGCCTGTGGAGCAACATGCCAATGCTGCGGGGATGCGTTTTTTTTTTTTTTACTGCAGTGAAGTAGAAATTCAGCCACATACCACCTTAGGGAATAAAGGTTGCCAAAGTGTATATATATATATATATACATATTTTTTTTATTTTTTTTTGGAGGGGGTGGGGGTGTCACTGTAAGATTAAAATTTCTTAATGCACTAGTTTGTACAAACAACAAACTACTTTGCCGCAAACCACAAAACGCGCAAAACCATAATTTAAATAGGGCGTCTCCAACAGTTTTGCACCTGCCACCAGTTACGCAATCGCTCCTGTTAAATCACCCGCAAACCATGGTTCAGCCCCTCGCGCAAAATTCCAGTTTGCGAGCGCAAATTACTGCACGCAAAATTGGATCTTGATAAATCCGGCCCTATGTGTTTTATTTACACCTTTTCTTTTCAACTGATTCTTTAACCATGCCCCTCGTGCCTTTCTTTGTTTCAGATGCAATGTCCAGGATTACATATGGCACAAAGGTGTGCGCTGCGAATCGGTGGTGACCGAGTTCCAGGTGATGTGCCTCGCCGTGGGCGCCTCGGCCTTGGTGCTCTTGCTGCTCTTCATGATCATCGTTTGCTTCGCCAAGAAGCTCCACGTGTTGAAGACGGAGAACAAGAAGTTGCGCAAGCGCAGGTGAGACGAGGACTTTGAGGTGTTCTATCAAAGGGAAACTAAAAGATAAGATTTTTCTCAACAGCTAACAAGAAATAGTTGCATGTTTGCGTATTTTAACATTAAGGCAGCGCTCTAACTGCTGTTTAAGTCAAAGGATAAGTAAAAGTAAAAAAATTCAGATCTTCTTCTCTCCAGATTAACTATATAAATACCTGCAGTTTTAATAATAATAGTATTCTATAATAATTCTAATGCACATCACAAAGTCTCACACATTTTAAAATATCAAAGTGCTAGAGAATAAAACTAAAATAAACAGAATAAGTAATAAGAAGAGAATGCAGTGAATAAGCAGACGATAGATTCTTTACACCATTTTAGTAACTGAACTGTCAGCCATAAATAATCCTCTGTTTCAGTAAATAAACATTAGCAGAGAAAAAGCAGAGGTGCAGTAGTGTCTTACTGGTCAGCTTAGACTTAGTTACAACTAAGCCCAGTTCCAGTCTCACCAGTGAGCCACACAGCTCTTCCTTTATATGGGAATGTATCTGTTTTTTTTTTCTATACATCGCTAAAGATAATCCTAATGTAGATGAGATATAAAAGAAGACCCCTGCATTGAAGAATAATGAACTAAAATGATACAGACAATTGCAAAAGAAAAATTTGTAAAATGTCTATATTTTTCCCCAAAATTGTAGATTGCAGTTGACATAAATATCACAAAGTTCAATGAATTTCAGAAAATAAAACATCTCACTGAGACCGTCTAGCCTGATTTCTAACTTCAGTCCATCTTTAGATAATTAAGGACTCAGACCCCCTAAATGGGAACATGTTATCTTTCTTTAAAAGGAGAAGATAACCTGATTAGTTTAAAGGACGAGCTGCATGGAGAAAATAATATGATTATTTTTGATTATCTTAAGTGCAGACAGTGCATGACTCAAGATTTTACTTAAAAGTGCTTTTTGCATAGCATTTGCAATTAAACCTGTGCTACATTTTATCCACGAAACAACCAGAAGGAATCAGGATAGCCACTTTTGTAAGTTATCAGAAATTCATTCAGGATAAAGGAAAGATTTTATGTATACACATGCCTATTTTTACCCTTTGCGGGCAGTGCTTTTATTTACTTTTATTTAATTTTATTTACTTTTATTTATTTTAGTTTATTATTTTATTTTAGTTATTATTTTATTTTAGTTATTGTCTTTTTGTGCAACTCTTCCGAAACCTTGTGTTTATTGAAGTTGTGCTATATAAAAAAAAAGTGGATTGGATTGAAGAATCCTGAAATAAGTTTGAAAATTTAATTAAAGACAGTGAATGAAACCAACTGCGTGAGTCCTTCGTAGGGGAGCAGAAAGAAAAGGCAGAGAGCATTATTGGAGTCTGTTGCAATTTTAGGGCATGAATTATTTTCCATTACTGGAACTTATCACAGCTGTGTTTGCGTGAAAGAATGAGTCAGAGGAATTTGAAGAATTAAAGTTCGCCCCTCAGTTGCAAACATAAGGGTGGTAGGTGTTTGTTCACGACAGATCTAATTTCCCATCTAAAAAAAATTTATTAAAATATTTTAATTCCATCATTAAAAACAATAACGAAAGTCTTTCTCGCACTTATGTGTTCAATTAAAGAAACTGCAACAAACCCCTGGTTACAGTTTATCAAGAAAGAAAAAGCTATTCAGACAAAAAATTCCTGATTTATAAGTAATCAGAAGGTGAAAAGCAATCAGTTACTAAAAGATTCAGTACTTTAGCTGCCAAAATTAGCACCACTGTCCCGCCGCTGATTAAGAGGTTAGCTGCACAGGACCATCTCTTCACTTAGTATCTAGAAATTAACAGAATATTTAATGATAATGTTATGTACATATTGTTAACCACTATATGATATTACAGGTTTTAGATAACGTGACTAAATATTTTTTTAAAGGGTTAAATACTTTAATAAAGTCTAAACAGGACTGTACCAATATGAAAATGTTTCTAGCATTTAAACTTTCATTTAAGGTAATCTTTTATCTAATATAAATCCTGAGTACTGAGCAAAGATAAAATAATGTAATAAAACCATTTAGAGGGAAATTAAAAGCAAAACAGAAACAAAAATAGGAAGAAAAACGATGACATTATTTGGATTGTTGAGTAGGGGGATGGGTCAGAAGGACTAGATCAATAAGGACAGTGTACAGCTTGGTAAGGGTGGTGAGGAGTTGAAGGGAAGATGAACTGAAAAAAACAAAGAGGGAGGAGGTTGGAAAAGCAGTGTGGAGAACTGAGTAAGAATCAGCCTGAATAAAAGACACAGAAAAGGCACATGTTAAAACTATATGAAATAAAGACTGTATATAAGCAATGAAACTATGTAGGAGATTATTTGTATTGTATTTGTTTTTGTTTTGTATTATTCTCATTATTACATCTTCCATTATCTTTATGAGATTCCTCAAAATCCACCAGAGAGGAGATCCAGTTTTATGCTTCATTTTTCATTATTCAGCAAGTGAACTTAAAAGAACTGAAGAGTTTGACAGAAGAAATGGTTGCAGAAGCTGCACATTAACTAGGTTATGTTCTGAAAATAAACATTATTAAAGTAAATATATATATTTTTAAGTTGATTTGACCATCTAATAGAATAACATAAAATATAGCAAAGTGATTTATATATATATTTTATATATATGGTGATATGGTGCTCCTTCAGTATCCAGGTTCCAAGAACGTATTTTTTTTTTTGGCCTGGAAATATAACCAAGCAGCATTATTGGCATTTTCTATAGCAGAAAAATTTAGTAGTTTTTTTGTGTTTGGGCTGGACACTGTCAGTGAGCTCTACACCCTGCCAGCTTACCAGCTGCCTTAACCAGTTAGCAAGGCAAATTTATTTACCGGTATATTGCACATTTCAGTGGCAATACCATTTAAAGTACTGTGCATGAGGGAAAAAAAAGGAAAAGTATATTGCAGGGGGTTAAAGGAAACACAAATAATTAAAATAATTCAAGAAATAATTCAAGAATAAAAATTTCTAGAAGAACTAAATGCTGTTTCTTCATGTTAAGTTCTGCAGTAGGTAGCTACATGCATACTAACAATTAATATTTTTTTATATAATCATTTCCAAATGTTAGTATTAATATCCGGGCAAGCCATAATGTGTAGAGCACACGTTTAGTTCCCAACGGTATCAATCTTGCTTAGTTAGCACCCACCTACAGAAGTTTGTTTTTAACCAATCGGGATGCAAAATGAAATAGCAGGAGATGCCATGAGAAATAACAACTGAGGCTTTTAGGTTCTTCTTTCTCTTTCAAAGAAGAAATCGTGGATTCTGGGAAACCGGTGTGATAGCAGCAGCTAATCGTACGTCCTCCGGCATTGCCATGTTTATTTTGGCTTAGCTGTGGGCCTTGCAGCTCTTGCTTTCCTCACATGACATGTCCTGCTTTAAACAATAATACTGTAATGTTATTGGTGTGATCTGTTTTGGGTCGCTCCATAATGCCTCTTAACTCTAAGAAGTAAAACAGTAAAAGTTGTGGTTTTTAAACCACTGCTTTTTACCATTTCTTACTTTGGAACACAGAGTAGTCCATAGATGTTAATGTTATGAACTAATATGTTTTATCATATTAGTAAATATCCTTTGCTTTTCTGATCAGTTTCCTTCAGCGGTCTTACACTTAAGGTGGCTCAGGTGCCTCATTCCAGTTTTGGATGATGGATTTGACAGGATGATCAAAGCTCTAAGTATTGTTTTGCAACCATCCTGGTTGAAAATTCTCCACCAATTAATTGCTGATCTGATCAATGTGCCAAATTTTTTTGTTTACCAATGCTTTTAACAAACCTCCATTTGTATTGTAGAACAGCTGCATTAATACCAGCTAAAAAAAACAGCCATAACAATGAATGGTTGTGTCTGACAACATTGTAAAAGTTCAAAGTGTAGATAGTTACACATAAAAACAGGGTTCTTACTGTGCTTTAACTTCAAAACTTTGCAGAAAGCTAAAAAAGCTAAATTCTATGCATCACACTTTGTGTTAAGTAAGAAAGTAAGAGACTGTAGGAAAGGTGGCAAGAGAAAAAGAGTAAAAACTCTGACTGAAAGGCTGGACTGAATACAAAAAGGAGTGGGTAGGGGTAGTGTTGCCCTCACCAATGTTTTATACTGATCTCCGTGGTAACAGAGCTGTTGAAGTGGATGAGCAGAAGCCCAGAGACTGAGCACCACGGATGCGAATGGGATCCAAAGGACCAAGACCTCATCACAATCTCCCACGCTGCTTGGTTTATTTTTAGGACCGCAGGGAGGGATATCATGCTAGCTGTGGTGGAGATTAAACTCAGTGGCAAGGAGGAAAAGTGGTGCAGTGGAAGCATCCATAATATGCTGGCTTGCAGAAATAAAAAAGAAAAAGAGGAAAGCAAGGGTGATGTCATTGGGACTGTGGATCAAGCTGAAAGTAGGGCAGCCTGAAAAGAAGGAGGGGAAGGGAGGGGAGGGGAGCGGGAAACGGGCGGAGGAGGTGGAGTTGACCTACATACAGCTGTGCAACCTGAGGGGTGTGAGCGGTGGGGTGCTGCATGAAAGAGAAAACACTGCCTCATCAAGTGGTGGGGTTTAAGAAATTGAGATGAGGAGTGAGAAGGAGGCAAGGGAAGAGGAAGAAATGGAGGACTGCAGATTAGGAAATCAGAAAAGAGGGCGAGATGAAGATTCGGGTGTGACTTAGAGATTTGCATGAAGAAAGGAAACCATGTGTGAAAGATAAAGAAGAGAGAGCGGCTATGGGGAGAAAAACTCAGCATGAAACACTCAGAGGAGTGTGTTTGGTGCCAGAAAGCCTCATGAATACTTGAAACTCCAACCTGCTCAATCCTTTAAACATAGCTTAGAGATTTTTTTACAAGGCTCCGGTCAGTGCCTTGGAAAGCAGATACAGACAAGTCATAAGCCTTAGAAAACTATTCCACACAGAAAGGCTTCTAGGA